TTCTTAGGTCATTGCTTTAACTGCTCTTAATTCTCAACAGCCGTGATTTCACCTCTGGTGTTTACAGTCAGCTAAAATACAGTGCAGCCAGTACACTGGCTTTGAAAACCCCCTTCTTTTTAAAAATTGACTTTCTTAACTTCTGCAAAATCCATATTTTTACTTGAGTTACTCTAAAACACAACATGCTTCCTGCAGGCAGCAGGTCGGGTTAACGTGACAAATATGAATTCATTTGTGAGCCAGGGCTTCCTGACGTGCAACCTTGCAGGGGAAATCCAAGGTCAGTTAAATGCTGACATATTCCATTCATATTTGTGTTTTCCTACTGGACGATCAACCCGTCACTCCAGTTATACTTGGTATTGTCTCAGTGTTTTCCTCACCTACTTCAGGACACTTATCCTTTGCAGAAACTTTAGAAGGGAAGTGTCTTGTTGCAGTAGGCCTCTGTCAGAGGAACCTCTGTAATTCTGGGGAAGTGTAATCAGAAGACTGCAAAATCCAGAGAAGACCCAAATAGCAGCAGTGTCGGCCCAGTAATTGCTGCCAATGCTCCCACTACCTATAAGGATCACAAGCTTATGGCTGGAGTGCAGCACTAAGGAGAGCAGGTGATCTCCTCTTCTGCCTTTACAACCTGCTGGGGACTTGAGATGAGGCTGGAGAAGAGCTCCGCCAGCAGCAGTGATGGTCATTGTGCCATCTTTCTGTCTCCTGAGCAGACAAGTGACAGCAGAGATTTGAGTCTTGCCACGGTGATTCCTCTGTTTCTTCTTCAGTTTTGGGGTAGGCTGGCATTTGCAGCTGTGGGTGCAAGTCCTGGAGCATCCTCTAGAAGTGCTGAGCTCTTGGTGAGGTGCATGGACACCCCTGCCCTGTCTGAAGTGTTGCTTCTGGGAGCAAGAGTGGGTGCCAAAGCCCATTGGACAAGGCTCATGGGCAGGCTGGCAAGCCTCCTTGGGGCAGGAGCATGGCAACCAGTTGCTGCAAAGGAGGTGTGCAAGTAGGAGCTTGTCCGGTTTCCAATTTTGCCTCCAGCCAAAAGAACGTCTACAGAGGCAGGATGAGTCAGTGTGCTAGAAACTTGGGAGAGCTGCAATTATGGGATGATCCGATGGGCCTTCAACTCAAAAGAGCTACAAAGAAGCAAAAAAGCATGCAAGGCAAAAAAAGAAACTAAGAAAGGAAAAAAACCCAGTGAGACTGCTGTCATCATCAGCAAGTATTCCAAATCCTTGTGAGAAGCCAGAACAGCTGCCTGAACTGGGTCCTCCCCCCTCAGAACCCGATGGAGCCCTAAGCCAGCCTGGAAACCAATCTAGAACTTTCAAGTGAGCTAGAACCCGATCTAGAACCATAAAGTGAGCTCGAACATGATCCAGAACCATAAAGCTATCTGGAACCCAATCTAGAATGTTATCTAGAACCACAAAGCAATATAGAAGCTGATGTAGAACCACAAAGTGAGCTAGAATATCGTCTAGACTGACTAGATATCATTGCCAAACCTCACTGAAGGGGTGTATGACAAATAAAAATCCATCTTCAATGTTTTGATGATATTTGATAAGAAATTCTACATTCTATGCCATGTTTAAAAGTACACGCACACAAAAAACCACACTTAACCCAAACAGAATAGAGTCACCTTACCTACTAACAGACAAACAGCATTGGAGTCATCTTCTGTTAGGAAGTCTTCCAAGTGTGTGGTACTTGGAACAAAACTATCAGTTTTTCTTTCATCTATAACTCTTTTTTTGCACTAGCACCTGTAGAAGCCCTCCCTATCTTCTTTGTTCTTGTTTTCAAGAAGCCTATTAGAGGCCAGTGCTTTATTCCTGATTTTTTTACATACTGATTATTTTCCAATAATTCTATCTTTAAAGATCAGCAATCTCACGGTTTATTTCCATGTTGCTGACATGATCAAGCCACCACTCAGAGTGTGGGTCACAAATGCAGCTGTGTGGCACAGAGCTGTGGATTGTATCGCCGGAGAGCTTTCAGGAGGCCAAAAGTATGCCGAGATTTAGGTTGGGTAGAGACAAATTTATGGCAGATGAGTCTGTCAAGGAGTGTCCTTTGAGGATGATCTCTGGTCATGTCAAACACAGAGTCCTGGGCTGACAAGCACAGAGTGTCAAAGGCAGGGACACTCCACACTTGCACCTTTCTTGCCATCTCTTCATCTCTTTCTTCCTTTCAGAAAGTATATCTAGGTTTTCTGTGTAAAACCTACTCTGTCTTCCTCCCACATCGAACTTTTTGACTGCTGATTTCAAAGGTAAAGGAGAGAGAGTAAGCAAATTTGAGAGGTGCACATGCAGCTGTCTTTTGGGAAAAAAGAAATTCCTTTTTTTCCCTCCGTGCTGACCTTAGTTTATTATTTCTTGTACGTTGCTCCATGTTGGAATTTAAAGGCCAAAACCGGGGCAGTGAAGTTCTCAGTGAATGGTTGGGAGGATGCGTATTTTTAGGAAATGCCTTATATAGTGCAGTCCTGACGGCTGAGTGCTCTGAATAATTAACACACTGTAGACTGCAGTGCAATTACCAGGCTGGGTTCATTTCTGCTGGCACAGGAAAGCCATGATTTCACGGTTGGGGACACAATGGGTGACCTGCAGAATGCCATTAGAGGAAAATAAATAGAATTTCAACTTAAAGTTTGGGAAGGAATAGGGCTAAATGTTTAGGAGCTGTTGTTCTTGAGCAGGTAGGGGATATGTGCATAACAGGGAAATAAGTCCCATCAGAGAATGACATGAGTTTGGCCAAAGGTTGATATACAGGAGTTTTGTTCAGGGCTTCAGGGGCCTGAACTTCCTCAGTTTATTTTTAAGACTGATTTTTAGTGAACTGACCTTTGGTAGGATATTCGTGTGTGGTGTTTGTGTGCTATGGTAATGATTCATCCTGGAGGGAATGAAGGTGAGGTTATGTTCTTGCACCTCTAAGTATGTTTGATTTCACTGACACTGAAAGGAACTGAAATCCTTCTCACAAAGTTCATGGGGAAAATGTTGTTATAATGCTTCCTTGTAGTTTAACTTGCATTATGAGTAGAGATTAAGGTCATGAACATTAAGTTGGTACTTCCTTATAGAAACTATTTGTTGTAGAAACTTTGTACTGCCTTTAGACCAAATAAAACCTCACTACTTTTTAGAAGGCAAAAAAATTGAAGTGTTACATCAGTCGCTAAACAACCTCCTCTGTATTGAGTCGTGAATACTTGTAATCATGCGTGAGTGGAGTCTTTCACAGGATTTTCTTGTGATCATCACTAATAATGAGAGAGATGGTTCCTGTTCCCAGTCCCCAGCACAGCTGGTGTACTTTTTTTTCCTCAGGAGAAGGCTAAAAATTGAGTATTTGGGTGCTGCAGGCAAGAAGTGTACTGAAAACCACTTGTAAAGATGTTGAGTAGGCTCTTAACAGTGCTGCTTGATTAAGTCACACACATTGCTGCACTAAAATAAAAAAAAAAAAAAAAAGAAAAAAGGTGGAGGGGGGCTTTATAATGCTCTTGGGAGCAGCATGATAGGAATTCTGAAGTCCTGTACTTCACAGACAGACCTAGGCCTGCTTCCCATTCCTCATGCTCTATCATCAGCCACTTGTGCTTTGTCAGATGTCAGTCACCTGTGCACCGTGTGTAAGGACATTTTCCAGAAAAAAAAAGATTTTTTGCCCTTGTCATACGTTAGTGATATTTGTAGAATGATGAATACCGGAACTAAGCCTCCTGGGAACCATAGTTAGGCTCGGGATGTTACTGTGCAAATAGATAGTAAAGAGATAATATTCTTACATTATCTGTACACATCTCTGCTGCAGCTAATTGCTGACCCAGTGTACAGAAAATAATACGCTTCTGTTCCATTACATGCTTTTTCTTCTGTTGTCTTCAGTAGGGCAACTAATTAAGGGTTCACAGTTTGAATATGATGGGCTTCATTGATTTTTATTTTTAATTTCCCACTGCTGGTGTTTGCTACTAAGCACTTTCCAGGGGTGACAGAGAGGTGGACTACTTCATGATGTTCTGCTTTATGTGAAGGGGCTGTTCCTTTTTAGCGATATATTGAAACTCCAAAAATCTGGAGCCAGACTGGAAGCATTTAGTTGAAACCCCAGGCTCAGCATATTTGTTTGTTACCAAGTATCTCCCAAGGTTCAGTGCTGAGTAAGAACTACATTGCTAGTCTCTCAATAGACAAGATTTTATTTGCTTATGAAATGGTGTGTGTTAAACAAAAATTGTGGATTGTCACTTGCTTTGTAGTTTATAAAGAAAAGTCCAGAGTCCCTGAAGGAAAATCTAAAGGTTACAGTGGGGCTTTTGTTTTAATTTATTTTTTTTCACCCATGACCCCAGTTTTAAAAAATACAGAATTAAATCATCTGAGTTTCTTCAAGTCTGGAAGTGATGAGAATCCAGCACCCCTGACAGTAACATCATTTCTTTAGGGGTTCATATATTGACACTGGACACTAACCTTAGCCTTTTGTTTTCTAAAATCTTGGTGTTACGAGTCATCTCTTTGCTTAATTGCTTACTTGGCAGCCTATAGTAAATACTGTTTTATATGAAATGTTTTCATGTCCTATAAAAGTATCTTGGTTCCTGCAATGTAAGTACAGTAAATTAATTGAAAATAAACTGCTGTGGCAATGTGCAGAGGAACAAATGGGCTGAAACAGGGAAGCAAACACACAGAATTAGTTCACATTCACTCTCTGACTTATTTCTCTTTCTTGGAGGCTTTTGGGAAAGTAAGCTTTCATGTAGAGGTGGAAGCCTAGTATCCCCTCTCCAGTGACAGTATACCGAACACTTGCAAAGCACAGACAGTAAAGAAGTATTCAGAAGTTAGTATGTTTATGCTCTGAGGACCAAAAGATCCCTTTTTACATGAAAGGATGGTAAACTCTTTAGGTTTATTTGTTGTAGAATCATTCCCACTATGTTGTTTATTTTTCTGTTTTAGGCTCCTAAGGACCCAGTCCCTGGATTGGTACTATAAAAATGTCAAAAGCCGCTTTAAGTGTTTTGGAAGTGCCAAAGTCCTGAAGAACTTATACAAGAAGCATAGACTGGAGAGCGGAGTTTGTCCTGATGTAGTAGGTAAGAAAAGCTGTGTTGGTCTCTTACTAGCTTATGTACTTTAACACACATGCTGAAACAACGAAAATGCTGAAATTATTTCAAAATAGGGTGTTTTTTATGCTTTTCTAAAAAAATAAATACCTCAGTGGAGAGAAAAAAGAAGTCAAGTGTCTAGAGAGCTGTTTAAGAATTCAAAGAATGTTTAATCTTAATTACACTACTGATACAGAAGAACTCTTATCTTCAGTCTGTAAACTGTAGTTTGTGTTCTAGCCCATGTTCCAAAATTCATCACAGAGTGGTCAGTGAAGGAGAAAATAATTTTGCATTCAACATTTCGCCTTAAAGCACATTTCCATGGTGTTTGAAGGAAAGTTTCGTTAACATGGGATACATTCAGTATCCAAGTTGACCAAAACTTAGATTGTCCTCACTTAAGTTTTCAACCCTTCTAAATGAAGACACACAATTCTCCCTTAACTGTAATATTACAATACATCACCCCATGAGAAGAGTAACTGGAGATAAGAAATGGGTTAGAAGAAGTGGCGTATGGCGTCTTACTGGTAACTTTAGCAAATTACTCAAAACACAGCTAGCTGAATGTTTGAAATTTCATTGGATTTATTGGACCACATTCTTCCCTAAGGTAATTATTTTGTAATTTGTACAGAGACTTTAATTTTTCTGTAGTCTTCACTTTGTCTTTTTTCTGAAATTGTATAGGATGGTAAGCAGACTCTCCAGTCCTGAGTGAAAATTGTAGGTGTTTCTTATGAATATTGGTGTAAAAGCTTCTCAGGAGAAGTGACCTATGCATTAAATTCTGATTTATTAGTCTTTTTCCTTTCTCTGTATCAAATTCATTTTTTTAGAGAAGATTCCTTAACAGTTGAGAACAAATATGTATGAGGACCAGAAAATTAATTTCAGTGAAGGCAGAAGTGGGACAGTGGAATTAAAATCTGAGGGGATGGATCCTTCAGAACTTTGATAAAAGTGTTGCCTTCACTTAAGCCATAGTCTCACTGAGTTTGTCCTTGACTGGAAGTGTGAACAGTGCAGTGATGAGTTGCAGTGGGATGTGTGCTCTCTCTGAGACCTTTCTAAGGAAGGCCTTGGAGTCTAAATGTCATTGCTGACTTCCTTCTATTCACCGTATGACTGTTAGGTAAACCTTTTGTTCCCTTTGGAGATAAAGACTAGTGTACGTGTCTGGGCTTTGGCTTATTTATACAGCATTGCCCTTTAAAATGTGGCATCTATTCCAACCCCAAATGTCATATTAAAGGCAGCTTCCCTGTACTTACCTTCTACCATGTAGACCCGGTAGCTTCGTCCTCACGCTCTCTTTTACTGTGCAAATAGTTTTCTCCATCCAAAATGAATAAGAGCTCTTTCGTATAAAAGCAATCATGTTTTGTACAAAAGCTGCTGCAATCATGGTTTATACAAAAGTAGGAGGAATTTTCCCATTATCCTTCTTTGTGTGCGGTGCCACTGTATCATGAGTGAACACTCTAATCTCATAATGCCTCTGCTGTTAACGGGTGCTTTTGTCCTAACGTGTGGTCCTGTCGTTTTTGAGCAGAAGGAGGTTTTTTTGAAGGAAGCTTTGAAAATGAAGGAAGCGTTTGTGGCAGTGACTCTACATTCTACCGACAGACAGAAGGTATGCTGCTAAAAACTCGTTTGATTAAAACATAGTCCTTACACTTTGAATTACTGGAGACATAGCCTAGAGCGCTGGGAAGTCTTGTTCACAGATACAACATTTTAGCTGAAATATTTAGCAAGATACTAAAAATTGTTTGTGTACCATGCTGGGGTATCTTGCTTCAGTGTTACAGCTAATACACGCTTATTCTAGTGTGATTTTCTTAATGGTCAGGTTTCATTTCTTATCTCCCATTTCCTTTCCTGTGCTCATATATTTTTTTCATTTTCTTTCTTATATTCCATCGGTGTTTAAAGGAGGTTTACAAGTTTTCTTCCTATGATTTCCTCCTAACTGTTTTCCTGGATTCTAAAACAAGCAACATAGAAATACTGTGTTTTATTGCATTTAGTATTTACATTTAAGAAGTAACATAGAGATTGAGAAAAATTTCTCTGTCTTAAGGTTTATTTTTACTGTGCATAATTATGGATTGAGGAAAGGAACTTTGTAATGAACAGCCTAAGATTGTAGTATATGTCCAGAATATGAGTCTGAATTTTGGGGTGCGTTATGCAAAATGTACATATATAGAGAAACATGGTGGTTTTATCTTATTCTTCACCTAGGACACAGCATGATGGATACCCTTGCCGTGGCGTTACGTGTTGCAGAGGAAGCAGTGGAAGAAGCGATTTCTAAGGCAGAGACCTACAGTGACAGCCTGGTATCATTTAAAAAAAAATGTATCAATTTAAGTAGAAAAATTATGTTTCTTTTAATTCAGGTAGTGGTACAAAACCAAGCAGATACAAAAGAAAAGGTAAAGAAGTAGCAGCTATATCCTGCTATACCTAAAGAGCTGAGTGTAGGTTTTATGACCTTGTATCCAAGATGCGTGTTGCATTTCAGAAGGTGACATGCGATGTAAACACCTGTGATTTCTTCCCACAGTGCCAATGTGGCGTATTACCCATTTCCTGAGCTGTACTGTTTCTGTGAAAAGGCCAGTTTTATGTTATTTTAGCAACTATAGATATCCATTTTCATGCAGGACAAGCAGAACGAGGCTTGTTACTTGCAGGAGCACAAGGAGGACCTCATAGAAGAGCTGGCCACCACCATCGTGCAGAAGGTATGGCATGCATTTCTTCCTGAGCTTGTTCAATAGCCAGAACACAATCCTTCAGTCTGGTGAGCTTTGCCTCTGCTCACAGCAAAAGGAGTAACACCAATGGAGAAAGCACAGAGCAAATGACAAGTTGTGACTTCAACTGTCACAGTATAGGCTTAATCAGCTACATCTGACAGAGAGATCACATTATAAATAAGCTAAATCCAGTGCCTAAACTGATGGCCAGTACACTCAGAGCTGAGAGGTACTGCTCCCTCAGGACTGCGATAGCCTTGCTTGGACAAGGAGGCCCCTACTCGATGGAATTTTACATCTGTACCTCACTTTCAAAAAGGCAGCGTTTTCCAACATAAAGAAGTGTGGCTCTTGACCCATACCAACTCTGCTGGACCCTGCATTGGCAACACATACAAAGAAACTTTGATCAATAAAAGAGAATTCTATTAATGATGCTGTGTGAGACACCCAAAATGCGGCATTTAATAATGTATGGATCACACACCAGCAGAGGAACATGTTTATAAGGCTGTCGAGAAAAGCCAGAAGAGCAGCAGCTCAATGGGTTATAATCTCTCTTCTTTTTTAATAGGCATGTTAGAAGATTACTTCTGCTTATCGGGTCTTTGATAGTCCAGAGCCTATCTTGAACTGCTACCACTTTTGTCAAAAGCTGCCTAACAAGATCTTTTATGCCATAGAATAATATTCTGTAGGTGTTTTAAACTGGATTCAGAAAAGTTGTGGAAATTAAGGATAGCAGGATATTATCTGTCAGTGTAAGGAGACAGGTAGTCTATATGATCTTCCCTCTCTCTTAAGATGGTGTAGATTTTCAAATGAATACAAAACAAAAATAGTGCATAGACACCTAAAACCTCTTTGTTTTCAGTAAAAATGTGTCTAGATGCCATGGGAGCCTTTGAAATTCTCCTCATAACTAGTATGTTCTGTTTCTTTGCGAACAGTCTTGTCTGAGAAAATACTTGACAGATAGATGCTGCTAATGTTTCAAGTGTTCCTCTAAGAACAGGTTTCCATGTTTATTTAATTCACCTCTGATGTTCCTACAGGCTTTGATTGTGATTTACTGTATCGATGCTTACGCGCTTGCACGCAGCATGACTTCAGATGAGAAGAAGTGCACACAGGTTGTTAGAATCATCCTTGCATGAACTGGAGCAAAAGCAAAGGGAAACTCCAATATTCTTTCCAGGCAGTTTGCCTCGAGACAGGCTTAACGTCGTTTTTCTCCATACAGCTCAGACAGTATTTTCCAAGCACTTCTTTTTTTTTTTTTCCCTCCTCTCCCACCCCCTGCACCCCTACCTTACAGATTATAAAGAAGCAGAAAAGCAAAAGTGAGCAGGCGGAGGCTGACTCGGAATGGCCCCCATCCCGGAGCAGCGGCCTGGCATCCGTTGCTGTCTCAGATCAGAGCATGCTGACTTTTCCAGGGAGCCGCCGGGGCTCCTATACGTTATGGGTGAGTGCCTTAGCACAGCTATCAATGTTTTCTGCTGCACAAAACTGGAAGATTGAAATAATGGATAAGTATACTTACTGCCTGGAATGGTCTGTAGAAACTGGCAGAGAACAAGCCTTAAACCTGTGTCTGAACAAACTGTCACTTGCTTTCCGAGCACATCATGGGCCATGGAAGTACAGCACAGACGTTGTTTTGTATCGGTGAGTGTGTTGGGAAAGAATAAGTTTGTGATATAAGCAATCTTTCGGCTTGATTTCAATGCTAACAGGACTCAGTGCCTCAGTGTTTATTCCTTAAAGCAGTTTTTACGCTCACTTAGCTTTTATTTGGATTTTTGCTGAATGTCATATTTTCTTTTGTACAATGTTAGATTTCTGAAATTTTTTTCTCCTTAGCCATCTTAAAGCAAACACCACCACCAACAAAAAAGTAAATCCAACTGTAAAGCACCATTTAAGTCTTACACTGAAGAGTATTTCTTCCGTCTTTCACTTATTTCTCAGCACAATGCCTTTAGCTCCTGCTATAAAGCTGAAGAAAATCTGACAAGCTGCGTTAGTAACATTTTAAGAAGAACAGCAAAGGAAAAGAAATGAAAATAAGCTATGGGCTTGGACAGGCCGTTTCCCAAACAGAGAGGGAGGACAGTGACAGATGAGTTCCAGTGCATTTTGATACAGTGGTTTAAGCTGCTGCTCCCAAGTGTACTGCTGCTGCAGCAGTAACCACCTCTCCCCAACTGAGCAGAGCCACCAGAACCGAATATGTGCTGTGCTTTGTTCCCAGCTAAATTTGCTAGCTTATGCTGACAGTGAAATACATTTATGCCAGAATATAAGATTGTGGGCCAGAATTGCTGAGATACAGACTCACATTCACATGTTCTTGCAGAACAGAAGAGTCAGGAGACGGAGAGTTAATTTTGTGCCTGACTCAACTGAGTTTTCTTTCGGGAGTTGAAGGACAGGTCCTAGGGGAACATGCTGTTCAAATGCTCAGTTATTACACCAGAAGCCTGCTGCTCTTCTGCATGTGGAGAGTTAAGCTGAAACTCAACACATTTTGAAATTCTGTTCTGAAGTAACAAGTTTGAGTCCCAAATTTTCACAAGAGGGAGGCTCATTGGTTTGAGAAATAGTAAACTTTGTGGAAAATACTGGAGTAACAGAAGTGTCATGCTAGGGTGAGAAAAGCCACAAAGAACTCTTGATGTGTGTACACATCCTGCCATGGAGCTGTGTGTGTTGGCTTAGTCTGAGCAGAGATCTGCCTGTAATGATACAAGCCCTTTCTTATTAGTACATGCCAATGCTAACAAGGGCACTCTTGTGACAGATTTATTAGGGCAGGGGTTCCTAGTGTAACCAAGGTTTTTGTAGACAGATTATGTGGCCACAACAACCCCAAGGGAAGCAAAAAAAAAAAAAAAAAAAAAAAAGTTGCATTTTTTTCTATTGAAGCTACCCAAGTTGACTATTAGTGGGTTAGAGTTATATACATGAACCTGTTTCCCAATAAGGATTATTTAAGTAGAGAGTCATCTGTTTAAGACTTTCTTTGTTACCTGACAAACAAATGAGTGTTTGAAGCAAGCAAAAGCAGGATGGATTAAAAAAAAGGGAAGGAGAAACATGATTAACAGAAAGACACACATGCAGAGCAAAGGGAGGCAAGGATAGCAAATCTTAAGGCAGTTAGAATTTCATAATTTAAAGCTGTAAATTTATCGTAGAGCAAATATTTGTCTTCTGTGTAGAAGACAATACAGGCGGTTTATACGCACGGTTTCATGAGCACAGTAAAGCTAGTAACTTGGAGTTCCTTAGGGCAGTTGCATGCTATAACACTGGCCATTAGAAACCCATGCTTTTAATTGCATTGCATTTTATTACCAAAGTCACTTGCTCACTGAGGGAGGGGGGCCATAATTATCCCAGCTAGAACTGTGTCGTTATATCTGCAGGCAATTTTTCTTTTAATTGCAGCTCTTTGTGTGCAGCTTATCCATATCAGCCAGAAACTTCCAGTGGGCTCTGGAAGCCCTGCATTACTGCCTTGCTCATCCAAAATCACTTCCTTTGAAATCATCATTAAATCAGTTAAACTGCCTTTTTGTAGTATGAAGTAAATGCTGTATGCAGAGAACTTGAGCTGTGTAAGCTGGGGACAGCACAGTGCCAAGAGACCAACTGCGTGAGACCTGCTTGACTGGAGCAAAATCTATTGATCTTCATATTAAGGAAAACACACACACAGAGTATCTCCTTGAAATATCTTATTGTTTAACTGCAGTACTGTGGTGTGGTAGTAGCTGTAGGTATTTATCTTTTTCCTTTTTTTCTCTTAGATTTCTTTGAGATCCTTTGCCCATGCTAAAAATAGTGATGCAAGCTGAATATTTTATTTCCTTATCTCATAAAAAGAGATGGATGGCACCATCTGTTTCTCATTGCCAATAAGCAAAGGCTGTAGAGTGTTGGGACAGGAGGAGCTTAGAGCAAGGGGCGGATGCTTCTCTGCCCTCTCAGTCCATTTCTCCCCCATACATCACTGCCAGGGAGAGCAAACAACCAGTTGGCATATTGCATCCCATTTACACATTGATGGAGTGCAGGCATCTTGGGGTGTTCTAAGTGCTGTGTTAGTGGTCTTTATTTTACAGCTAAAAGATTGCATATGTAAACAGAAGCTCATCTATAATTTATGGTATATAAAACAGCTAGGGATATAGGGAAAAGGAGGATTTCAGTAAATACACATTATGATGCACCTCAGGGGAAGCAGAAATTTACTGGATTAAGCTCATTACAAGGTCCACAGTGTACCGACAGTTGGTTATTTATTTCTTTTTTCTTTGATTTGTTTTAATGAGAAGGAAGGTTCCGCAAGCCTGAGGTCCAACACTGCTTTGGAAATCCCTGGAGGTATTGCAGGTGCTCTATGCCTTTGTAGGTTTGTCCCAAACAAATATTTGAAGAAAACCTTTTTGAGGAGGAATCCTGTTTAGCAGTTGTACAACACAGTGTGAGAGCTGCTGCAGATGAGGGAGGCGTAACACTGTAGGAAGCTGATACCAGCTGGCATCAGTTCTCACCTGTCAACAACTCTGTATCAGAAACATGGTATTTATGTCTAATTAATACATGTGTCACATCATAGGGAAGATAGAGTTTTCGGCTTTTATCCATGAGCTGCGATCAGAAGGTTGCACAGAGTGTATTGCTGGGACCTCCTTGCAATGAGGCAGCTGGATCCTGATGGGTTATTTACTGTCTTGTTTCCTTCCAGAATGTCATGGTTTGACCCAGTACAAGATGAAGCCTGATTTCTCCCCATCCAGACATTATAACTACGCAGCAGAAATCCCCTGAAGAGGGGTGAATTTCTTTTTGCAATAAGCATCTCCCAGCAGATGCCAGCAGGCAGGATTTGGTGGGGAACTCATGGAACTACAGTGTTTGGAAATGCCTGTCAATACTGTAACTGGATTTTGCAAGCTGTGCCATACTGCCCAGCCGTCCTGCGTGCAGCACGTGCCTCCCAGGGAGGTGTGCAGGGAACACAGCAAATGACCCGTTGGGTTGCAATGCCATCTGCTGATGTATTAATTTATTGCAGAAACTAACAGTTGCAGTACCTTAGTGTCTGGCTGAAAACATCCAGGGCAGCCATGTAATTCATCACAAATAAATACACTGAAAATAGCACCAGGCTGACAGGGGTTTTTGCTAAGGAACCAGAGCTTATTCTTAGAAAAGGTGCTGGTGGCTTTGGCTGGGAGAGATTAATTAAGAGATAGGAATAATCAAGTTATGTGGTCACTGCAGTTACAGAAAATGTTTTATTCTAGGGCAATAATTTTGGTTTTTCCTCCACAGTTCAGAAGACAGACTAAACCCTTGTGCTTAGTTGTGTTTCGTTTTACTGAATCTGTTCTGAAATCTCTCTGCTGAGCCAGGATACAGGAAGATTTGCAGTTAATTAAATCTGGCACAGTACACCGGTCCCACACAGGAGCATCTGATCAGAGCTCTGATGCAGGCAAAGACTGGCCCTTTTGAGGTTAACAGTTTTAGTTAATTATTTATAATTTGAACATCAGTTAAAATGTACAAAGATTTGAGGGGGCCAGCTTGGCATGTGTAAAGAAGTTGAGCCCCTTGAAAGCAGACTCCTGAATGAAACCCGGCCATATACAGGCAGCCTTCTACTAGCTGTGGTATGAAGGCCAAGGCAGAGGTTTTAGGTGGTCAAAAGTTATGGAGAGAAAGCTAACTGTCATTTGAAAAAGTGATCTTTTTTGCCATACAAGCTGCCTAAGCACATACTGTCATCAAAAGCAAAGTTAACAATTTAAAAAAAATTGTGCTGCAGCAAATTAGTGTCAGGCAGATGTTAAAACTTGACTCAAGCTGCTGTAGCCTTGTTTCTCGAAGTACATATATGATTTGATATGTAAGAGTGAATTCTCCTGAAATCAGCAGGAGGACATTTCCAGCTTTCACTTCTGTTTTTTTCTTTTTTTTTTTTTTTTTTTTTAAATCTGGCCAAATTTAAATGTAACTTCTAACTGAGTGCCTAAGTCAAAACTAAAATGTATGATCCAGTTATGTGGATCCAAAGGAAAGCCTCTTCCCCTCATTAGCAGTCAGGGGTCATTAACAATCCCAACAGTATTTTACCTCATTTTGACTGGAAATGTGACCCTCCTAGAAGAAGATAGATGTCCAAGTGTAGGCTGTGTTGACTTGTTTAGCAAGACTGCAGAAAACTGCCCGGCATGTTGTGTGATATGTATGTCCTAGCAAACAAAAGAATTCTGCATTAAAATCAGTTGAGTTGTGCATCTATTTTTGGGGAACAGACTTGTTTGTTTGCTGTTTTTTACTTTTTAATTTCTGCAAATTCTTACACCAGATGGCCTGTTGAGCCAACAATAGATCATCGTGTCTCACCATAATGGGTTCTCTTTCTGGCTGGCTTCAGCCGAAGCAGTAAGATATCAGTCCTTACCAAGCACATTCCTAACAGCTTCACCCTCATTATTTCTTTCCATCTGGTCTGTGGTAGTATAAACAATTTCCTGCCTCCTTGCATGGCATCAGAAATGCACATAAATAAGCAATCTAGTGTTGAAATAATTCTTTTGAACGCGTTAAATTCCATTTCTGGATGCTAGCAGATCCCACATTTCCATGGGTAACTGAATACGCATACTAATTATGGTAAAGAGTTTTATAATTAAGTATTTCTATTTTTAAATTATGCTCTTTGGTGGTTTTTTTTTCCCTCCACAGAGGTCTCAGTCTGCATTCTCCCTGGCTAGTGAAGATATGCCCAGTAAAGGACTGGACCCTGCATTGTCTGTGACTGAGGCTCTTTGGAGGCAGCAAAAAGGACACTTCAGGAAACAGAAGGAACGCAACCTCTCTGCATTACCCAGCTGGAAAAGTGTGGACAGGCTAAATGAAATAAGTAAATATTTCTAGTACGAATATGATTTTTTTTTTTTTGGTACTCACATGTGGAATAAATACAACTTAAAGCAAGGATGCTCTTCAGGAAATCTCTGCTGACCTCCATGCTTGCAGGGGCACATGTAAAGGTGTCTGTTTGGTGATGCCAAGTGTCATGATTTAATTGCTCATCTTACCGCTGTATTTTTTCCAAGAAAAAATTCAAAATTTGGGCCTTTGGAGAGTTGCTTTTGGACTGTCAGGAAACATTCGGCATCTAATTTGGATATGTTTCAGAGCTTTTAAGACACAAGAGTCCAAGGGCTCTGCTTTGTCACCTAGTTATCTGTCCTAGAGCTGAAGGAGTTGGCAAATGCCCAGACTCACTTCTCTTGCACAAGTTCACTGTTCAGGAGGTTACAAACAGTGAAATAATTCACGTTTAGGATTCCCCCTCACACCTTTATTTCCAACCCCAGTGAATTCACCAACGCAGTGTTCTGTGCAGCCCTGCTAACTGCTGCTTTTGAGGAAGCTGGGTGACTCAGAACTTGCCAGAGCAGCAGTTTCCCTCAGTCTCTGTCCTCTGGTTTTCCGTGCATTAGGTACAGGTGCAAATATGGATGATGGATGGTGAGTAGCTTCCTAAGTCAGCCTCATTGCTGACTCAGCACCCTGGGGTAGAATGCAGTACCCTGCTTACTTCAAGATGAAGAGACTGAAAGTTAGCCAGTGTCAATACCACTCTTCCCCCCAAAAATAAAGTGATAGTAAAGTGGTAGTAAAATCTGACTTAACTAAGTATGCGTTACTTTGTGAACTGCTCCTTCAGCCCCCTGGCAGCAGTGTTCTTCTCCTGGGCGTTTTAGTGGCAGGCATGTTTTCAGTAAAGCAGTTAATTGGGTGCTTAAATTTAAGAACCCACTTCAATGCCATTGAATTCAACTGTTGAGCAATTTGGTACTTAACAATTGCTTACCCATAGCAGAATGACTGATTGACCCAGTTTCCTTTCAGGTGCTCTACTCAGAGGATTTGTTCTGCTTCCTTCATCTAAGAGCCACATTTGTGATGAAATTGTGGTGCCTATTGAGCTTATAGTAAATACTGCTTGTGCTAATTTGTGTAAATAGGATCTCACCTATGCAATAGTAAGCAGCTCTGTATTGGGATACAGAAAATGAAAGAAATCTCAACAAAGAGTTTGGAGTGGTAATGTCAGTGGGCTTTTTAGTCATGAAGCTAAAAAAGCAGTTCACAATGCATTCTGATTACAGTTTGCACTGGTTTAAGTGATGATTCAAGAGCCAAATCATTAATTAGTGCTTTTTTCACCCTTTACCAATAGTTTCACAATGAGACTTCTTAAATCTGTTTTCATTTTCACATGGATAATTTATAGCATATACCCAAAAGGACTGTGCAAAATCCATTCTTTAAAGTAAGTGACTTTGTTTTGGAAAATCAGGAAGGGAACACTTGCCATTACTTGAAGCTGGGATGAAGTCAGTTTTCTGAATATAAAGTTCTCAGAGGCATTCCTTTCTACCCTGCGTACCCTCTAAGATGTAATCAACTACTGTCCTTTCTTCAGTTAACTGAGGATGTTTGACTGATTCTTACGTGTATATGTGAGCTCCAGGTATTTGTAATCATGTAATGCGAGGTGCATAAATAAGTATTTCTACAGTTTTTCTGGAAATGGCAAATTTGAACCCCTGGAAGGAATCCATAAGGCTGAGTTGTTTGTTCAGC